TCGTTGCCCATCAACTTTGCATTGAAAGCTATTATTGAAAAATACCAACAGGAGGATCACTCTGATGTTGCAACCTGCAGTGAACATTACAGGCAACCGCTGAACGTTTACTGTCTTTTGGATAGAAAGTTGGTGTGCGGCCATTGCCTGACGATAGGAAAACACAACGGTCATCCAATAGATGACCTTCAAAGTGCCTATGTAAAAGAAAAGGAGAATTCTGGAAAACTGCTCGAGCAGCTGACTGATAAACACTGGACTGATGTGTGTCTGCTTATTGAAAAGCTGAAAGAGCAGAAGTCCCAGTGTGAGAGCATTGTTCAGGATGATAAAAAAGTAGTGGTACAGTATTTTAAGAAACTTGGCGATACCTTGGAGCACAAAAAACAAGCTCTGCTGATGGCGCTGGATGAAATGAACAGATGCATTTTGGAAGAATATGAGCCTCTCATTGACAAGTTGAAAAAAATAAGGGAAGAGCAGCTGGAATTAATGTCACTGAATACATCTATTCAAAAAGAAGAGTCCCCACTTATTTTTCTTGAGAAGGTGGATGATATGCATCAACGTATAAAAGCGTTGAAACAGAAGCAGCTACCAGATGTTAGGCCTGTGGAAGTTTATCCAAGGATTGGGCACCTACTGAAAGATGTGTGGTCTAAAACTGAAATCGGTCAGATCAACAAGATCCTCACTCCGAAAATAAAACTGATTCCAAAAAGAAAGTTACACAGCAAAGGCAGTGGAAAGAAAGGAGAATCTCAAGAACTTCTCCAGGCTGTTAATCCTTTAGCCCTTCTGCTGCTTTTTATACTCGTCGTGGTGACTGTGGTTTCGTGTCACAAGCTGGTATCACCAGTTCTAATCCAAGCTACTCCTACTTATATTTCAGGATTCTTGCATCTTATTTATCAAGATTTCTGCACCCATTTGCAGAACACAGTGGATGTGCTATGCCATACATACCATTTACTGATGGAGTTTTTAGGGAGAATTGTTTCTCTGACTGTTTCAACAATTAGATTATAAATTAGTGTAGGAATCCCTAGGATTATTATTTTTATTTTAATTTCTACTTCAAAGCTGGGCTGTTAAAGTTCTTCACTTTTCTGTTTCTATATCCTTCCTTTTAGTGTATTGTACAGATTTCTTCTTGGCAAACTAAGAAGATTTGCAAGGCAAGATTCTGTTCCCACACTGGGTAGGTAGGTGTTTGTTTAAACTGGAAGCTACTCAGAAACAGTGTCTGTGTAAGAAAGCTGTAAGCATCTTACAGATTGTAATCTGGAATTCTGCTTCTAAAAACTCCTTAAACAGCTCCTATTTTTTTTCTGGCAACATAATTTTAAATTGTGCTTTTTTTTAACAAAAGCACTACACCATTAAAGGTTAAAAAACCAACCAAACAGAACAGAACACCTCAGGCTGCAAGCAGGGAGTCCTGAATGAGTCAGTCAGTCACTAGCTCTGGTGTGTCTTACATAAAGCTCCTATTCTGTGTTTTACTGGGCTCTCTGTAAATGTATTTCAACTGGTACACCTGTGGCCTTTAAATCATGTATTTATGGCCCCGAGTTTCATTTGTTTGTGCCTGGTTACTAGCAGATGATGATTTCTTTTTTTCTCCAACCTGTGTGTACTGACTTTCTGTCTTTCAAGTGGTTCACTTGCTTTAAAGCAGTCTCTGCAGGACTCCTGGTGAAATACTGCGTAGGTTGTTTTAGTGCCAGCTGTGCACAAATCAGGGGATTGTTTAGTTTGGCAGGGAGCTCTCACTGCTTACTAAAATGAGCCCTGACATTTTGCTATATCATTTAAAATGTAGTAGAGAATAGCTACATACTGTAGTAAGTAGCACAACTCCCACTGAAGTCAGTGGTACAAGGATTTCGAATGTTATCAAGAGCCCTCAGAACAACTTGACAATGACTGCGTTTCTGTTCACCTTTTCAGCACAAATGGCAGAGGTCTTGACCTTTACCGGGGAGCTGTGGTAGCAGTTTATTGTGCAATCCAAAGATCACCAGTGCTACCTGCTCCTTCTGAGGAGGTGCTCCAGTCCGAACTCTGCTTGGGAGTGAAATCCTCAGTGAAAGCTCGTTTTTGCCTTCAGTTCCCAGCCTGATTACAGTAGGTACTGGATCAGCATTGAAGTGTTGCTGTTACAACAGCAGAACACAGATAAGCTTAGAATTCACTAGTGATTTTATAAAATATGAGAAAAGAATATTTGCCATGTCTAGTTGTATTTGACTTGATAAAAATAATAGCATACTCTAGCGTGGCACCATTCCTTGGCTACTGTATATTTTTAAATAAGAGTGGCTGCACACTGAGGCCAGCCTTGAACTATTGGCTCTTTTAAACCCTCATGCAAACCAAAACTTGACCGTTGCTACCAGCAGACACTACTGGGGTCCTGCAAAACACCAGCTGTTGCCAGACTTCAGGGAGAACTGAGAACAAGGTCAGTCCTCAGATGCAATGCTGATGTATTCCTTAAACCAAAATAAAGATTGTGGTAACAAAATCGATAGCCTAATATTGCCGTATCCCAGTCCTGAGAGTGTGTACATGTTGTCATCATAATTTCCCAATAAAATGAGGAGTTTGGCTATGTTTTAAGCCTTGCTAGAAGGCCGTCACTTGGCATGTCTGTCCTCTCGAGACCTGGTGCTGAGTGTCTGCTATCAGGTGAGGCTGCTTTTTTTTTAACTTGCCTTCCTTTTGTTTTTCTGACTTTTAAAAACTTACAGAAAATTAATAATGCAATTTTACTTTTCAATACTACAGGAATTTATAAAATGCCTTTACCACCAACTGAAACATTTAGTACTTGTTACTTATAACATACTATATATTTTAATAAATTTGCATACAAATAAAATATATTCTTACAGTAAGATTGGCTAACGCCTTGATTTCCTTACTGCACAGAACCTTCCCTCTGATCCTAAACAGGGCTGAACTTGTGAGAGGAGATGGAGCAGGAACACGGCTGTTCAGCAGTGCTCCATTGAGCTGCTGCAGCTTCTTCCAGGTGCTCCATTTTTTTGTAGCATGAACATTCGGAAGATTCTCTGAAGTGGCACATCATGAGGTGGGTCAATGTGGATTTCACAGGTTTTCGCATTGCCCACACCAGGCCTGTTTTGTGGATTTTCCTGATGGGTCAGTGAATACTGGTGTTTGAGCTAGCAAGGGAACTGCTGGAGTGCAGTGCTGTGAGCGGCTTTTTCTTTTGTTCACAAGTCCTGTGTGCAGTTTCATATAATGGAAGCTTTTAAGAAAATGAAGTCTTTTTACTGCATTTTAATTGAGGTGCAAGAGAGGTTTGTACCCTGTCAAATCTAGAGTGGGTTTTTTTCTTATCTTGTTTAAGACATGCAGTAGTTTTTCAGATTTCCTTTTAAGAGGAAGTCTGGTTAGAAAAGTGTGTGTTGAGACCCAATGAGGGAAGAGACTGAAGTTTCCAAGTGTCCAGGCAGAGAGCTGAGATACCAAGGGAGCAATCAGAAGATTGCTTTTCGAGGAAGGTCTCTTGCAGTTGAAAATAACACATTGTGTTCCCCTGTTCACTTTACACAAAAGATGATCCCTGCCCTGCAGCTCCTTTTGAACTCATGCAAAAATTTTAAGATACAGGCTTAGTTACCTGCCTGCTGCTACTTTCCTTACTGCATCCCACACTGGGTCAGCAGTGTTCCTCTGCTGCTCTTCAAAAGGGCTGCCTCTCTTGTACTGGACTTTTTCGGTCTTGGCATTGATCCTGAAGCTGTACTGCAAGACTTTCTAGCTTCATTCTGAGTTGGGAAAACCAAAACTGTGCCCAGTGCTTGTGGCTGGAGCTGGGCTGTGGCAGAACAGAAAAACCAGAATGCAAGCCCCTTATCTAATATCATGCCTGTGACTTGCAGAGCTGTGGTGTCTGAAAACTGCCCAGATGTCTCTTCTAAACTGGTAATAATCAGATAGTGCACATAGACATTGTGTAATATACATGGAATAAATAACCCCTTGCCAGTAGTTGATTTAATGGCTAACATTACATTGAAAACATTTCTCTCTTTTCTTACTATAACTCTACAGTTACTACAGCACAAACCAGATCAGCTCTAGGTTGATGACTGTGCCTTGGCTTTCACTGGGCAAGGTCCATCACCCAGTGTTCAGCTGGCAACAGCAACAGAAACAGGATTACAAAACCATGTTGATTTAAGTCTACTTGGAATGAAAATGGCAAGATTGAAATATATATAATAAAATGTTACAGGGTATTTAAAAGCCATTTCCTTCCTTTACTGTATCAAAAGAGGCATTTAAAACCAAGTGCCAAATCCAAGCATTGACATCAAGGCTAAGCACAGAATATTAAAATGCAGCTAGATACAAAACTTGAGAAATAGCTTTATTTTTTACTCAAGCTCATGCAATTAAGATTAATATAGACTGTATACTGAGCAAATGGAATTTAGTAAGGCTGGTTTTATTAAGCAAGTCAAATAAACAAAAATAAAAGAATCTCAAATACAAAAGGATATTAGATGGAAGTAAACAGCAGCAATGGGAATGGAATGGAAGGTTATTCCATTCTAGTTTTGAGCTGTAGTTTCCTCATGAGCAGCGAGTTCAGCCAGTCCTTTAGCTGCAATGAGTTTGGGGTTTATTGCCACACTTTTTGAGGTATTGTTGGTCTTATAAATTCCAATTAATCTGTCTGCAATCTCAAACATGTTTTCTCGCAGGGAGATGATGATGAACTGTGCATTGTTTGTTTGCTCCTGAAAGAGAAGTTATGTATGTTAGCCCACAGTATTTCAAAAAGCTCTGTTCTTGTATGGTCTAGGTTTTAGAAACTAAGGAACACATCACTGTAAGTAGTTCTGTCATTCAGCAAATCCACAAGTGATGAAGCCTCAGAGCTCCTGCTGTCCATAACTGGTCTGTGTACAACACACTCCCAGCTTGGCTGTCAGCACAAAGCACTGCAGTTTACTTAAGCAGTAAAGTTAAAACATGGGTTTCCTCCTTTTCTCTTTTACATGACCCATTCAAGTGAATTTGATGAAATACAAACAAAAGCAAATTTCTTTCCAGAGTTGCAATTCAGCACAGTTCTAACATGACTTCCACAGGACTTACCAAAGGTGGGTATTAGTACCTTACCTGAGTTGTTATAGCATGGGTTGCTTTAGGAATGAAAAGGAAAACAAACCTGTTTCTACACACTGAGGGCCACTGCACTGTGAGGGGACAGTGCAGCCCCCTTGGCAGGGGCATGGCCCTGCAGCCTGCCAGCCCAAGGGCTGGCCACTTACCTGTTTTAGAGCTAGCATCACTTTGAGGCACAGACAGCACACACAGTGCCTACACTTGTTTTATAATAATTTGCAGGCAAGAGCTAAACCTACACTAAGTTTCAGATTTAAGTGTCAATCTACACTTGAGTTGAAATTAAACTCTTTGCTTTACCAAACTACATCTGGGTGATGGACCCACCTTTGTGAAAGTACAGGCATGGTGGAAGCAAAGCTTAAAACTGCAGCTGCAGGCAAGTATCTTCAAAGCGTTTTCCTAATTTTAAGTAGCTAATCATGATCTTTGGCACTTCTAGGATGTTTCCAAACCTGTTGGTTACTCTTTAGATAATTCTGAAAATTCTAAGTTTAAATTAGCAACCAAAAATGTTGCTTCACTTTTAAAATTCTGTTGTCACCACATTTAAGGCATGAAAGAAAAAAAACCAAAACCCCCTCATAAAGACACAGATCAAAGAGGCCTACAGAAAACAGCTTCTGTTAATGAAATGAAAATATAAAACCAAGGAACCTCAGCTGCACCCAGGAGTGAAACCCATTAACACATTACTAAAGCATAGTAAGTTACTGTATCTCAGCTGACAATAGCTCATTATTTTGGGGAAAGTATCTATATTTTTAAAGAGGAAACAGCAACAGCAGGGATACATGTAGATATTGCACCTCTGGCAAACTATGAGAGAAAAAAACCTGTAATTCTGCTATTAGTTGCCTCATTTCAGGAAAGCATCAAACTTAGCAGCTTTGGAAAAATATGCAGAAAGCAACATTCTAAACACCTTTCTGGAAGTCTGCTTAGTGCATAGTTTCCACTTAATTATTTGAAAATAGTCTGCAATTCCAGATTTTTAAATCTGGTCATAATTGTGTTACCACTTTGTCTCTTCTGGCAGAGGAGAAAATATCTTAGAAAAATTATACTGTTAAGTAGATACTATTAAATACTTACATATAAGTAATGCGCTACTATAGTTACATTTCTGAAGTCAAGCGCTGCATCAATCTCATCCATAAAATAAAGTGGTGTTGGCTTGTAATGATGAAGAGCAAAGATTAAAGCCAGTGAACTAAGAGTTTTCTCTCCTCCTGATAAATTAAATAACTTCTTCCAACTTTTCTTTGGTGGCCGAACACTGAAAGAAATTAGTTTTCAACTTATTTCTGTTCAAGATGAAAATAAATACGTCGCAGTGAAAAGCAAGACACAAGAGAGAATTCTTGGAAGACAGATGGAGAAGCTCTAAACCATGGATGAGCTGCCTGATACTCTCAGTCCTCCACAGCTGAGAGGCAGCAAACTGCATTACCTCTGTTCACCAAGGAACAATTCCCCAGGTGCCTGCACAGCTGTGTGGACAACTGATGCTTCCCTGAACTCACCGCAACACTCCACTGTTCTGTGGGAACTACAACACTTAAGAGCTGCCATTTCATTACCTTTCAAAAGTGCTATTCTACTCTCAAGTAACAAATATACTCTTAGGACCATTTATAACAGAAGAATCTCCAGTTAACAATGTGACTGATAATTCCCCAGGCAGAATGAAATGATTTGGGAATTAAGAAACTGAGAAATTGCGTCAAAGTCAAAGCTTTCTAAGTGCTGCAAATTACTTATTTCTCCAGGAGAAATAAATGCTAAAGAGGTGTGGCTTCTGTCAGGATCTTCCCGATACTTGCCAAGAGGGAGGGCTGTCTTGGTTAGCTGATGAGGGAAAATTTACTTTAAAAGCAGGCTGAAAGAAAGGAATACAATGAAGAATTACAGCAATAATACAAAATACTTTGACAAACCTAAACCAGATTCCCTCAGAGAAGGGATCCAGACTGTCCACAAATTCTAATTCAGCATCTCCTCCCAAATTAAGCATCTGATAGGTTTCCTTCAGTTTAGTTGCTATTACAGTAAATCCTGCCATAAATTCATTTAGTCTTTGTCTCCTAAGATCTTCAAAAGCTTGTCTGAACCGGTTTCTCTCATCAGTGATTTCATCCAATTCAGCCACGCGTTTCAAGTATAGCTCTTCCTGTAGAAAACAAACAACAAAACTACAGTTAAACAAGCCATTCCCTTAACTTAGATATTAAACCACTTTTCCTACCATTTGAAAATCTGCTAACAGTCTGGTAACAAAAGAACAAAACCAAATGATCTCCATATACTGGAAAACCTGTGTTAAAAAAATAATTAAAGAATATTTAGTCTGTCGAACAGTCCAGTATTGCTGAAGTGACTATATTTAGGAGGAAAAAAAAATCTTAGTATTGTGTATCTGTCCAGACTGTCAAGACCAGTTGACTGTAAAACTTTCACAGGAGAAAGTTGTCCTCACCCACCATCCACGGTATCACAAATGAAAGGTGTATTTAAGCTCCTAGACAACTTTCACACTTGGCTAAACACGATCTAAGAAATATTCCAGATGCTAACAACAGTGCAGCCCGCAGAGGAGAAAGGGAAAAATCAAGGGTTCCATTTCAGGCTCCAAAAGAAAGGCACTGAAGAACAGGACCACCTTTCCCCTTTCCCTTGCCTATTGACAAGATATTTTCTTTTGTCACCTACATTGAGTGTGCATTTTTCACATTATTTCAAGTGTGGGATCCATCTAAGCAGTCACCTGAGGAAAAAGGCACACCTGAAGGCTACCTCCGTACTTCAGAAGCAGTGACAGTTCTGTACAGATTCAAGTACTGGAAAACAATGAAGCTGTACAGACAGTGGTTACCGAAGATGGTGTGTACACTGTATTGTTGCACCGACAGGCACTCTACACACCAGTAATTAAAAGCTTACCTTCTTCTTATATTCTTCAATAACACCAAGGTTGGGTTTCATTTCCTGACACTGGGCTTCCAGGAGAGCTATTTGCTTAGTGATAACATCTGGATCCTTGATAGCCTCAAGCTCTTCTTGACTTAGTACTGGAAGTGTTTCAGGTGCTTTCTCTTCTATGGGGTGCAGTGATAATTTTGACATCTAAAATTCAAAAGCAGTTACTAGAAGTCTTTAGAGGGTACATTAGCTATCACATGAACTAGTCTCTAAAATAAGCATTTTCTGTATCAGTACACACTGAACCTTCCAGTCTCAAAACAGTCAAAGTTTCTCCATATAACTGCCTCTAAAAATAAAATCTGAGAAAGCCAACAAATATCCTTTTCTCTTATTATTCTGTTCCTGAAAGTTGTAGACATCATTCTTACAAAGGAGATTTCTCTGTAGTAGGAGCAGTAGCAGATAACAAGGAAGTCACCTCTACTGATGCCACAGAGCTGTAACAACAATATACTTAATACTTTGTGTTCAATGTTGAAGAGTTTGACAGCAGCTTCACTTTGCTGGGTAGCTGCCCCTGGAAGCTGCTCAGAGACATTTTTGAAATGAATCCTCCAAATGCCAGGCAATGCTTCAAACCAGCTTGTTCAACAGAAACAGAACAGTTAGAATGGACCTGACAGCAGGAAATAAAGTCCGTGTAAAGCTGGCCATGCATTTGCCTGCGTGAAAGCTGCCAGTAGCCCTGCTCGGACACAGCTCCAACTCTGAGCAGCTAGGTGGTGTAGCACCTAGAGCGAGCAATTCCTTGCTCCTCTGGCTCCAATTTATTCAACGAGCTGGTTCAAGCAGCAGTCTCTGAGGAACAGTTTCTGCCTGGCCCCAGGGAATTCCTGTTTGCCCAATTATCTATAATCAGGGAAAGGCACTTTGAGGTACCAAATGGACTACAAGTCTTAGGCAAAATGTTTCCAAGGAAAAAGTCTTGCTGTTTTATAAAGAACAGCTTAGTGGACACAGCACTGAATACAGTTGCACATAAGTTGTGTTTTAGTTATCAACATCTTACTCCTCTTAGCTTCTCTCACCTATGAGGTTGCCTACCCTTTTAGAACATTTTTTAGTCTGTGTGTAGGGGACACACAGGCACAAAAAGTCTTCTGGTTGCTGTTTATGGCCTACTTATTTTTCCCTCGTTGCTTTTAATTACTTGTAGCTAGCATTACATCAGTTTTGGACATCCTACCATTCCTTCATACGTAAAAAAAAGAAGTGAAAAGCTAAAAGCTAAAGAATTTAATTCACAACTCATCCACAGCTTTGTATGTAAACCAGAAAGTAAAAGACTGAAAGGTTATCTTTTCTCAAGTTACTTTTCTGTAGCATAAACACCAATAAAATGTGAGCCAAATAAGAATTTTCTCCCAGATTATGTTTTCTAGGTACACGTTAACATATGAATCTTTTAAGATCTTGTAGTTCAAGTTTTAGGAACTAAACAATTTCCCTACCTCTTTTTGCCAGTATTTAATCTTTGACTGGTGTGCAGAAATACAACTATCAACTTGTTCAATTTTCAGCTTAATATTAAGTGCTGCCTTTCGAAGTGCGTGTTCATCATCCTGAATAGCTTTAATCTCCTGGAGTAAGTTGTGGTGCTCCTCCTGAAGTGCTGGCAATGCTTCCTAAACAGAAATGACCAAAAAAGTGCGTTAATCAATTGCCCACAAAAATGTTGCCACTTTCTCAGGTTGTAGATTTGTTTTCACTATATTATTCACAGACCTTACTCTCCACAATCCTAAGTATTGATATAAACAAATACATACTCTTGTATTTAGATTAATCTGGTCCCTGAATTCTAGAATGACTGAAAATGTGCTGCAGTTCATATTTTCACTCCAGATCTGAATTCAACGAGCCCTACGCTCATACATTTTTAGCTAAAAGGCAATTTTAGAGAAAGACAGTTTTAAAGAAACAGCTTTATTTGAAAAAATTTCAGCTGTTCTGGCTGTTTTCACTCTCATACAGAAGTCTAGATGGGAAACTAAAGTCCCACATAGCTGGACAAAATCTATTTTTAAACAAGAGTTTTAGAATCAATAGTTTCTTTGGGGAAACTTGGTTTAAGTTTTTTCTTAGCTTCAGAAAGTTGAGTCAAGATGTATTTCCAGGTAAGTCAAAACAACACCCAAAATTCCCATTCCCTGACAATCATGGAATGTCACTCTTCAGCTGCTCAACAAAATTTGCATAATAGAAGGATATAGCTGGGATATAATTCATCATCCTGATCTTACCTGAAAACCAAATCACTTATAAGGACTTCTTTAGTCTAATTTCTCCCCTAGCATCTATACTTAAAGGTCAACCTTGATTAATAAAAATTATTAATTTGTATTAATGCACACAATGTGTGTGTCAGGAAACAGGAAAAAACCACTCTTTGTCATTTTATCCCCGTGTGAATTTTTGGAGGATGAGTAGTAAAGCACCTAAGATTAAAAAAAAAGAGACTTTAGACCAGTATTGTCAAGGCTGAGGCTTATCAGATAATGCAACCCCTTGCTAGGCCTGCCTGGAATGAAGGGTAACAGACAGCAGCCATTAGCACAGCCCTGACACAACAACTGTTATCTGAAATTTATTTCACAGACTGCAGCCTTTATGAAAAAATACCCTAAATTAACACAACACTTACTTCAGCTTGTGTGCGGTTATTTATAGCCTCAGTAGCTTTCTCTTCTATCGTGGTCATCTCTTCGTTTAAGTTTTTCATTTCTTTCTCATTATCCTCAATTTCCTTCTCCGTGCGAAGAACAGACTCTTCGGCTTTTTTCAGGTTTCTGCACAGGTACAGAAGTGTTTGTATACCTCACATGAGTACAGATGTGACGTAAGATAATCTGGAAATCCAGTCTTACTTGAAAGATTGTTCAATAGCTATTGACAACCAAAAAGGAAGTGCTGATTTATGCATGAACTCTCACACTCCTGAGACATCAAAGTAAAAACAAGTTGTCTTCCTTAAACATACAGCAGACAAGCCTCACTCAACTACTTCATTTTTTCTTTCAGTGACAGTTTCAGCATTTATTCCAAGTGTTCATTATGTATTGTTAAACAAACTTCCACATTTTATTTCCTGACATGTTTTATAATAAAAGTAGTCCCTTCAGATATGAACTGCTCCACTGCATGGGAATTAAGTGTTATTTTGAATCTTTATATTGAAATATTGCATTTTAGTGATAGACAAATATTAGCAGAAAAAAAATACACCTGACTTTTAAACTGTCCATTAGAAACTACAGAATTTAGTTTCCATTTACCTCCTTGACACAAGCAACATTTGGTTTTAGACATGCAACTGAAAATTAAGAATTTAAGATCACGGGAGTTTTAGCTATGGAGACTACTTAAAACAAGCAAATGTGCTGCAGGCACTGATGTCAGCAGACAGAGCTAACATAACTCTCCTCGGTCAGGTTTCCCTAAGCTAAGGTCTCTGATCCTTTGCTTGAAAAGCACACTAATTAACAATTCTTAATTAAGAGCCAGTCTCAGTTTGAGATAAATCAGTTTACAGAAAAAGGTTATGACCTCCACCCTCCAGTTTTCCTCTAGCCATAAAGAGGTGCAAACCACCTCCTCTAGCCTGACAAATCCCCCACGGAAAGTCCAACCGTAATCAAACACAGATCACAGCAGTGTGATTACAGCCTAAAGCTCTACCCTTGAGCACACTGATGTCTGCCGTACCTGTTTGCAGTCTTGACCGCCACTTTGGCTGCAGTAATAGCTGAAGTACATTCATCTATTTCTTTGTCAATCTTATCAAGTTTGTCTTTCTGTGCTTTAAATTTACGATTATTGATCTCAAGTATGAGGTTATGCAATCGTTCAATTTCATTTTCTAATTTAGCAGCTTTCTCAGCAACACTGTCATAATCTGTCAAGAAACAAAATCAAGTTCAGGTCATTATGCTGTCCCTAGTGACACTGGGCTGCTGGAATGCATCAAGACTTAAGTGATAAAATACTCTGCTGTATTGATGTATTGAGAAGTCCACCTATTTCTTAAACAACCTAGCACCTTAGCATTGTAAGTACAAAACAAATGAACAAAAAAAATCCCACACCAAGTTTGCTACAAATGTATGATTTCCTTTTGGGAACATAAGGGGTAAAGCAAAGACTTGACAGGTAGAAGGCGGTCAGCTCTTCAAAAGAGAGCACAGGTTTGCGTCTCTGCATTTACTTGGTAGAAATGCTAAAGAAGCTATTTGTAACATCAAACCTTAGTGTGATTGAGAAAGTAAAGCATTCGTGCTCGCTTGATGCTATGCTGCTCAAAAGAGGGACAGAAGGAATCCGTAGTAGTACATATTCTCTTTCCTAAAATGCTATGAAAGCAGAACTGTGGGGAATATACGGTTTAATATTCCCTGAGCAAGAAATACAAAGCAGCAGTCAAGGTTTACTTTACTAAGCACCAATTACTTCAGAGAAGCTGTTATTCAGGCTCTCAGAGTAAACATCTTTCACAGAATGCTGCGGTATAGCATGCCCACAAAAGAATACAGGGTGTTCTTTTCATAGCCATGTAATGGTCTAGTTAGAGCATCACAAAAGCCTTTATTTGCTTTTAATATAATTATCCTCCACATTAACAATTCTTAACCCTCATCAAACTAAGTTTCCCTATGAGTCTGTATATAATACAGCCATAAAAGTCTACTCAAATAAAACAAAAACATACTAAAATTTATGTTTACTGTAGCTTGACCGAGACATGAACTTGAACAACTGCAAGAAAACAAAAGGATTTTCACACTCTAATCTCTAGACGTACGTTTTATCACCCTCTTAGAAGAAAAGAGGTTCCAAACCAAGGTATGGTCCCACACTGGTCATCTGGAAGAACAAAGCTAGAACCATTCATTCCTGTATTAGTAAATGAACATGACTAAATTTTATCTATAATCCCCTCTCCACAAAATGTACCTTTTTTATAATTATTAAAGATATTTTCCAATTCCTTCTGTCTCATTTTGTCCGGAGCAGCAGCAGCTACATCTGCTTCAAGTTCCTTAACTCGTTTTTTCAGAAAATTTTCATGTTCAGATAAACCCTACAGAAAACACAACTGTGTTAGAATCCTGTACTTTAAACACATCCTAGACTAGCACAGACTATGTTAAATGGGCTGAGAAGTCATTCCTCTGCACTGTTATGGAGAAGCCAGATACTGCTTCAACTGTCCCGTTTTTGCTAGGACTGAATTGTAGCTTCCCTTTCTTGTTTCAGCAAAGCCGCATTTCTGAGAGAATTGCAGTGTTTGATTTAGTGAAAACAAGTTGGTATCACAGCTTTAGCTGGGATACGTATTTTCCTCATAGCAGCTATTGAGACTTTGTTCTGGACGCATGCTAAGAGGAATGTTGACAGGGCACCATGGTCTGGTTTTTTACACCAACTCACAGGCTGGTTTTCAGTCTTTGCCTGCACCTGTGTTCATAGTTTCATTTGTTTGTTTGTTTTTGGGGGTGGTGGTGGTTGTTTTGGTTTTTTCCCTTCTCTGCACAAGAGAATGGGGGCAGGGGAAGGAGCGAAAACTTGTCAACTTGTTTTTGAAACTTACTCACCTTGATACTTGCTGCATACTTTTCTAAAGTATATCTCATTTCCTGAGTATTTTGGCGCAGTTCGCTTATGGTTTCTTCAAGTTGAATTTTCTCTTCCATGTACTGTGCTGCTCTTTCAGAATCCTTCTGCAGTTGAGATTCCATTTTATTGACCTACACAAAAATGAGATATGATCATTTGCCCACTGTCTTCACTACAAAGCAAATCAAGACCTCAGTCATGTGCTCAACAGTCTACGATCTCTTAAAACACGATGAAGTGGACAGAGTATGGAGGCTGCCTGCTGAGAAGATCAATTATAATGGTGAAAAACAAGTGAGGCAATCATAAGAAAAAGCTGAAGAACCCCTATTGAAATAGCTTGTAATGGAGAATTGTTTTAAGGAAATAAAACTAGATTAAGCTTGAAAGGCTTAAGTCAGAGTAGTGAAAGCAAAAACCAAAACACACACAAGGAGAAACTAGGAGCAGCTTTTACTACAGTTAAGATTTAATGGTCATTGTTTTTAGTGGTCATCCGGTGTTTGGAAGAGAAGCTTTTGTACATAGTAACTGGTCAAGTGATCGAGTCTTGCAATTCATTTTCAAGAGCGAATGGAATACGGATATGTTTCAGATTCCAGCCCATTTTCTGTTTTTACTTGTAGAGAACTGTTTACCAGGCATGGATATGAATGTACTTGTTTTACCTGGAGTTGTCCACTATGCTAGAGAGGTACTGGAGTAGTCCACTACGCTAGAGAGGTATAGAGCTCAAATTGCTGAAAATGGAGAAATGAAGTTACGCTACTGATCTTAATGTTGCGTGCCATAGTATCTCTCATGGGCCAAACAGAAAACAGTATATAAGCCTGTCTCTTGGAGAGAACAAACAATGAATAACTCTAAAGCATGAAGACAGGAAATAGCAAAGTCTTTTATTACTAAGATCTAGGTATGAGCTGCCTTATATATTGATTGACCTTTTACAAGGCTAGGGCAATAATGCTTTGTCCACAAGGTTAGTTCATTAGTTCTCTACAAATACAGCATTATCTAAATAGGCTTGGCAACAAAAAAAATTAACCACTAATCTCTCAGTGATAAAACCAAAAAGTATAGAATCATCAGCAATGACAGCAAACATGGTGACAGGGTTATCTCCTCCACCAGAACAATCAGATAGAGAACCTTAGTTGTGTTTGATTTTCAAGTTCTCCAATTTGAAAGTATGTTCACCTAAAAATATATGTTTCTGTGTCCTTAGTGGTAAGCAAGTATTTAACCTTTATGTTGGCTTATAGCTCTCATTGCTAAAGAGCAAAGGTTTGTTCTGTAGGGAGAGGACTGATGTCAGGAGCCATGGTTTACTTGACAGTTACACAGAGGAGCTTGTATTCTTGAAGAGACAGCAACACTTTGATGTTTGAACTCAGTTAAGGTGATCAGCAGGTACTAGGCAAAAAGGACACAGGCTACATCTGCACTAAATAGAACTAGACTAAAATAAAGAATTGAGAAGAAAAAGCGACCTGTATCTTGATATTCCAAAACATTCTTAAAACTCAGATTGGAAGGAAAGCTCTGCTGCTCCCTGACAAATCTTCCAAGGACATAAAAATGAAGGATCAAACCTGTCTTTTCTTGCTGCTAAGGTGTGTGTACTGCTTTGTGGCTCAATGGTTCCCTATGATCAGTACCTTCTGTGTTCTCATCTCTACCTTCACTCCACCTCCAAGCTATCAAAGGTAGCACTTTGAGACTAAAAATTAAATAGGCATATGGTAGCTGGGCTGGGAACAAATGCGCTGAAGAGCAATCTAACCTATGCTAACCTCATGAACTGCACCTTTATACATCCTTGTTAATGTATCTTGCATCATAAATTGTTAACTACTCATGCTGATTTAAAAGTGCATGGCACATGTGTGTATGAACTGCCAAAACAAAGAACTTTATAGAAATTTCACTTTTAATTAAAATTATGTACTAACCTCTTCTTCTGAAACATCCATTACTACTGAGGAACCCATTTTGCCCTTCATTACTTTACCACCACCAGTCATTGTTCCTAAAGTAAAAGAGAAGAAGTTAGCAAGCTAATTGTCCTTAGAGATCATATTTAATGTGCTTAAAATATAACTGCAAGTTTGCACTTAAATACCTGACTGTTCAATGATTTGTCCTTGCAGTGTTACCACCCTCCATCTTTTATCTTTTTGGAATGCTATTCTGGTAGCTTCTTCCAAGTCATTAGCTACTAGGGTGTCACGTAACGCAAAGTAAAAAGCCAGCCGAACCTTCTCGTCTTCTACTTTCACCAGATCAAACAACCGAGGAGTATTCTCAGGAGTTGAGATTTTTTGAGTGTTTTTTTCCCACACAGCCATCTACATCAAAAAAGTCAATAAATGAATGAGAGATTCCTTAGGATAAATTGTGCGGTCATTTCATTATTTTAAGGTATGTTAAGGCTTTAAAGCAAATGCAGTGGTACTGCAGTTAACAGTAAAGCTTCCTTCCTTGGGGAGCTCTACTTACTTTCAGTATAATTAAAAAATCACTGATAACTCATTATTGTCTTTTATAGTTTTTCTAGTTTACAGTTACTAGATTACTTGGATTATGAAGTTTGCCAATTTGTTAGTAAATCTAAATAATATAAAAAAGACACACCAAACATTTCTTGTACACATACAGGTATCCAAAAAGCCTTGTAATTCTCTGTAAGCAAACATTATCATTTGCAAGTAGAATATTCTAAGGCATGAACAGCCTATTAGAAAGTTTTGTATTTTAGCTTTACCTGTATTAATCCATATATAGTGTAATTAATATGTAATGCATAGTTATGCATGTTAATAGATTATACACATACAGTATTAGTACCATGCACAGTAGTGTAGATCAACAATTGGTTTAGCCGAAGTGCTTGTACTTACTTTGTCCAGGGCTATAAACGAGGCAAACCCAGCTCCTGTTGCTTTTAAGAAATTCACACATGCCTGTGCGGTATCAATTGTATCAACAACAATGTAGTCTAAGGCACTGCAAGATGATGAAATAGCAACATCGTACTTGTCATTGATAGCTCCCAAGTCTCCCTAATAATTGAGGATTGGGGGGGTAAGACAGAAGGATGCTAATTAGCTTGGCATCAGCATTTTGTCTTGGTATTAAGAAACAAATGATAAAACCTTTACACAAAGTGAAACAAGGTTACAAAACTATAAAACATTTTTCTGTGAAAGAACTTAAACCTTAGTTATTTTACAAGTTCTATTACCACACCTGTCATCTTCTGCACACTGCTATTAATGCATTTCTAATGTACTTGTTTCCATAGAAGTTAATATATTTAGAGCTTCAGAAGTGGTGTTTCTGGTAGAGCTATGTGGTAGTATTGATTTATTTTTTGTAGACAAATGGTAAATTTTATATGCCAGCATTTTAGTGAGGCAGTCTGGCCTAACAAAACCATTTGTGTTCTGTGTACAGATCTACCATTGGTCAGCAGGGCAGAACCTAGCAAGTCAGACACTTGAAATGGATACAGGGTACTCATTATCTTTAAAAAATTCTGTATCTGCAGATAAAACCAGCAGTGAGTTATCCAGGAACAGATTAACTTCACACTCCTCTCGGTGGCAAGTGATAACAGAGCATGAGACAAACGACATGCCAGCTGTACTAGATAGTGGTCTGCTTGCCGTTCATTATCCTTTTTTAATACGTCTATATATGCACTTTTTAAATATGCATACTTTAAGTAAACTGATTTTTCTGAAGCATAGATACATCTCCCTGGACAAGCAGGTAGGAAAAAAAAGATAAAATTGCAGAATACAAAAGTAGCACTTTTACATTTCCACTCAAACGCATGTACTGTTTGGTGTCTGGAAAAAATAAACGAAATTAAGAACTCTACCTCAACTGCAAGTGTTCAGAACTTTAAATCTACACTGCTTGGAAAGAACTGATAACAGTCACTGTTTTGCTATGACACAGCTTTCCTTGGTCTTCTGGAACAACAATATTGCTCTTTTTGATTTGACATATTTCCAAGTAAACCAAGAGGAAATAAACAGCAAAGAGACCAAATTCTCTAAATTTTGAAGCAAAAAAAATTTACAGTTCCATATTAAGTTATATACAATTTGTAATATGTTTGTTGGATTTTTAAAGTTTCATTACAGTTCTACAAGGTGTGTAGTTACTGATTGATTCTACCTTCTGCAGCACCAGAAGGTAAAAAGCAGTACTCCACAGTACTTCATTATATATATATAATATATATTTGTTTATTAGGACTATATGTTTCTAACGTTCAAAGGAATCAGAATCACTACAGCTGTCAGTTGTAGCCCAACGCAGGCGCCTAGGCAGCACTCAAAGCATGGAGAGGTTACAAGTCATGTTGGTATCCTTGGCTTGAGGATATTCCCAGAACAGCAGTGAACTGATTTAGCCTAAAGACCAGTATGAAAAATATAAGGCTCTCCTAGGCACTGGTTTTCCTTTGTAGTGAATAGAACAACCTTCTACTGCTTCTCCTTAGTATTGAATAGAACAACCTTCTTTAACAATCTTCTTTTAATTTAGAGCAAGTCCACAGGATTTACAATTCTGTTGTCCAAATTACTAGCACCAAAAAGGTGAGGAATTCTATCTTTCACTTAATTACAGAAACACCACTCTGCTCCTATAAAGTTTAAGGCTAAAAGTATAATAGTCTTAAAATTTACCAGTCTTCCATATAGTCCAGGAATATTTCCAGATTTCTTCTGCTGAAGTAGAGCCTCAAGCACTTTTCCCCGACTGACACTTAGCGCTAAAGAACTTTTGGCTTCTTCTACTTTTTGACGCAGATTTCGAACATGACTGTTAACATCTGATTCTTTTCTTCCCATCTTCTCAAGCTCATTCTCTTTCTATTGGTTAAAAGACAGATATTATCTTAGCCTCATGAAAACTACTGTATTCAGGGAGTCTGAGATTCACGATTGTGTAGGCAATGAAACCAGCCACTGAGAAGCAGAACAGCAAATATACACTGGTATTTGGATACACTTTGTCTAGTATTGAGTACGCTTTGATAAAAATAAGACAGCTTATGGATTAATGAATCAGGCTTAGGACAAGGTAATAGGACTTTTTTTCTTGAGGAATGAGAGAGGAGCAAGAAGTGAAATTCAAAGGCAGCTCAGAAACAGAGCTGTTCATTTGTTTTAACATGTCTCATTACAACACGTGAACTGACTCCCTTGCAGCAATATAGAGCATTTAGTTTTCAACTTCGTTAACATTTGCTTAACCCAAACTAAGTTTGAAATCAAATACTTACTTCATTGATTAACTAAGTATTAGACTATTGTTTTTAAATGTTATTTTATTGAAGGTGGTTTTTATTTATTTTCACCATAACTATCGCTAAAACAAGAAGTGGAACTTTGGTTTATGTGTTCAACATTGTGTTGTAATTTTCACATATCATTTCTGACTTAAGCCTCACCTCTTTTAGTTCCTGTTCAGCCTGGGGTAATTTTGCATCTATATCCTTGATAGCAGCTTTCCTTTGCTTAATAGTTTCTGAAGTAGTCATCAGAGACTCCTTTGCCTCATTTAAATGAGACATAGCAGTATTATGACTGCAGAGATAGATCTCAAGCTCTGACTGGGCTATAGCCATCTTTGAACGTGCTTCATTTACTGTTGTACAGAACTCCAGAAGCTCTCTTTCTTTGCTCTGCAAAAATGAACAACGTTACAACTAAAACCAGACAACTGTGGGATTTATTACATCAGTCACACTGTATGAAAGAAAGAGAGGAAAGGCAAGTTCTTTTACTAACTCTCATGTCAGCTGAAAACAGTTATGTTATCTAGAAGAACAAGAATATCCTAATTTATTAATGTCTCCTGTACAGAAGTGAAATAAGGGGGTTTTCATAATTATAAAGAACATCAGGGTATTACCTTAGAACTTTTCTATACAAGCTTTGTATCTTTTTCTCAACTTGAAGTTGGGAGGACCTTACATATTGCGCTAAATTACAGATCAAATGCAGAAACTATGTTTTCAAGTACAGAAAATAATCTGCAAAATTTACAGGACAAAGTTCCAAGCTCCAGGTGTTCAGTGACTGGACAGCAAATATCAACAACAATAACCAAGTGTTACAGTGGTTGTCTGTCGATGCAAAGACAGCCTACAGCTGTGTGAGAGGCTCAGAACATACCATTTCAACATCTGTTCATTTCTATAAACATACTGGCTCAAACATTTTGATGGGATAAAATTAAAGTGTGTTCAAATAACGGAAGTATAGAATTATTTAATATACATATGTGAATAATACACTTAAGGACACATGATCACTATAAAAAGCAAACAACTTAATGAGAATTATTTCGCTCCAATTGCAAATATATAAATTAATTTCCCAGTTAGGCTTCACTGAACTTATACGAAAGTGCATTGTCATAAAATACATTTTACAACTATCTTGTGATCGTTTCATTCATAAGTATAAAAGCTATACAGTTAATACAGTAAAGTGTACTAAGTTAAAACAGTTCAAACCTCTTTGTCTTCCCGAAGTTCTTTTGTCTCATTCTTAAAGCTATTTATAACCTCCTGGAGCTTTTCTTCCTCTTTCTTTTTTGTCTCTTCAAGACGCTCCTTCTTAGATGTGGCTTCACTGATAGCTTTTTCACTATTGGACGCTGCATTTTTCAATTCTTCTACCTATGAAAGAAAAAGACTTAACTTCCACCGAAATAAAACGGTTCTGCCTTATCTTTCAACCCTGCCTTTCAAGCACTATATGGCAGTCAAAGGAAGTGTAAGTCCTAACGAATCTCATGTGTTTTCGTAGGATAAGATACACCACGGCTATAGCAAGAGGCCAGGATTTTATTTGCAAGACTTGTTCAGTTCTAAAGCCCATCCAGAAGAACATAGCTCTACACGCGAGAACTCAAGTCTTTGAAACACAGTAAGGCTTGATTCTTAAATACGCACTTGCAGAAGTCTTGATCCAGAGTGACTTAAGATCTATAACAGCTGGCAACAACCAACTTTAAAATACATCCATTAAATTAACTAGGGAAACAGGAAAAAAAAGTTTTGAAAAGGTAGTAACTGTGAGAACACACATTATTCCTGTTACCTCGACAAGCATGATAAAAAGATGCTTTTCAAGCCATGAGACCTCTCGACAGAGCTGAGAAGCAACAAGAAAGCTTCTGACTGCCTTTAGGCAGAAAACAGCCTGGTGCTGCTAGCCAGTCTCCCACAGTAAGATGTGCAATCAATGGTTTAAGGGAGAAAAATGCATTACTTCAGGAAGTGATTTGCAAATAAAATCCCTAGCTGATTTAAAAGGCACAAAATACCTGATTAAAAAAAAATTAAACATATTTTTTCCATCGTTGTTGCACGAAGTACAATTGATGTCCTCTGGTATTCTATCCCAGCTGCACAAAGATGTTCTTATCTAGAGCAGCCAATTGCATTTCTTTAAGAAAATCAAGTTACAGTTCATATTACCTTTCCTTTGTCCTTTTGGAGTTGCTTCTCCAGGGTTTTGGCCTTGCTTTTGACAAATTTTAAACTCTCCCTTACTTTGATATCCTGCAATTCCAACTGAGTAAATTTTTCTTTATTTTCGTCTACACACTTTGCAATTTTACTGCATTTCCTGAAGCAAAAAACAAAAATAATAATCTCTTTGATACCTTATAAAATGTCAGTAGAGCTTAGCTTCATAAGTAAGCATATAGAATTTAAACCAATTCAGTTTTCATGAAAAACATCCAATACTTATTAAATTCACGGTATTTTCCTCGCAGAAGTGATGTTTCATCAGAAAAAGATGAACTAACACTGCAATATTAAAACATTTTCAGAATTTTTTCCTGTGACAGAATTCAGAATTAAATATTAAATTATCTCATATAACTTATTATGATCTCAGAGGATGAGGTTAATATTACAGTTAGATTAGCATCCAAACAAATTCTAGGGAAACAGCGTTTATGCATAAGAGATTCATAAGGAAACCAGAGAAATACATGTACCTAAGCATTATGGTTGTACATCTAAAAACCTGAAACAAGCTCCCAATTATTTTATTTAATACAGTCAATATTAAAAATTTTGTACTTTAATTTCCATTAAAAAAAATCAGATATTTTCTTATCGTAATCATGAATATCACCCAGATTGCTCCAAGAGAAGCAACCAAACCAAACCACTGAGAATTCTTTAAAATTCATTTCTGTGTGAAAGATAATTTAATCCATGCCAGTCTATATATAAATACGGTGTGACTCTGTGCATCAGGTAATTTGTGGTTTTGGTGGATAACTACCGAAAAACCCAGCTGTGCTCCCTTTGATCACCTTCCCATGCAACTACTGTATACCACTACTTTCTCAGACCTTTCCCCTCTGCAATACAACTACCATAGCTTCTTCTGAAAAGTCTGCTAAATCCACCACATACACAGGATATAGAAAACAGTACTCTTAGCCTACGAATCTACACCTGAAGTACTTACTTTTCAAGTTCTTTCAAAGCTTTATTCCTGGTTCTAATTTCATTTGAAAGTTTACTGCTCTTCTCATTAAGATCTTTTGTTTCTTCATTAACTTTTTCTTTCTGCAGTTCCATATCATTTAGTCGTTTCTTTAGGTCGTAGCTAGGAAAACAAAACCACCAAACTCAACTTTTTTTCCACAAAATTAATTAATAATGAATATACATTTCCAATCTTTAGTGCAATACAGGGATTATGTAAAGTATTAAATTCTAATATCCATTATTGAGTAACCTTGTCAATTTAATACAAAACAGCAAGGAAATCTAACAGACACTATGAAAGACAGTTTTAAAATTACCTACTCTCTCAAAGTATAAAGCTGTAAGAGACTAATTTCCCAGACTGCTTTACTTTGTAAAAAGCTGGGAAGCAGGCTGTTGGCTCTGGTTTTTGTTGTTTTGCAGTTTTTAAAAGGGGTTTTAGTGAACATATTCATTATTTTAAAATTTTAAACTTTATAATTTGTAACAAAAAATCACTAGCTACATGCTATTCAACTAATTTTGAAGTACTGATACAGCAGTTAAGAAACAAAATATTTCTAATTAGATATGGAAGCAAAATTTAGCACCACATTAAAACCAAATCAAACTTTAGAGAAGTACTTACACATAGTATTGACAGATACGGTTCTTTTCTTTAAACATTTTGTTTTCCAAAGAAAGAAATTCAATGGCTTTATTCCTGTCCGCTTCCAAGGCATCCTTTTCTTTTTCCACCATTTTAACTCTATTTAACTAGACAAAACAGAGTAAGAGCCAACTTTACTGCTAGTACTACAGAACAAATCACAAGGAAGAAAACACCCAGACCCTTTGTAGCCCACACGTCCTCTAGAGATGGTGTTCAACAATTAACTCCGCAAGGCAATTGAGCACTATAAGCTTTCCAAATTAACAGTTCACTATTTCCACAACAGACTGTCCTTTTCAGGAAATTCAAACAGTAGTTTAAAACTAAAAAGGGATCCTACAGATGCTAGGAACAGCTCAGGGAGATCAAGGAAACTGTAGCTGAGAAAAAAAAGCTACATATCGACAGTCAATGTTATTTTCTGTATTTCAATTGGATTAGCCCCTTTAAAATTAACTCCTGCAACTACGTCTTCCAGCCTCTAAAAAAGTCTGCAACATAGTAAGATTCACCAAGAACACATCAAGTAAAGTAAAAATAACTTTTATATTAGTACTTTTAGAACTCAATGCATAAATAAAGTTATGAAAGCAAGCTCTGCAATACATCTTCATAGCTCATCACAGCTGATTTTCTGTATCCTCATGCAGATGTGCGTGCATTACATCACCAATGCTGTGCCTACAGCTCTTCTTTTCTTAGCATATGAAAGGTTTCCCTGCTACTTCTCCTATTTGCTATTTAGCAATAGGAGCCTGGCAGACAGAGCGTCCTATCTGGATGTATTCAGATAATGATAATTTGTTCTCTATTCAGTCTGAGAATCATTTCATGCATGCAGATATGATCAGAGTGTTCAACAGGTGAAATCTTGTCTTCAACCAAACTTTTGGGAATCAAAAGTCAACAGCATTGTTAAGTGTTTAACGAGGGCAACCGATGTTGACTGCCCATTTCTTTTAAAATTGTGAGAAACAGCAGACGTGGTAACTTGAAATTTCTCTGTGCTTAGACTCATGTAAAGGAGCATCAAGTTTTAACCAAGCCATTGTTAACTGTTCAACAAAATTTAACTGTTTTTCTAAAAAATTCAATAATGAAACACCACAAGTTTATAGTTTTTTATTAAGAATGCAAACAAGCCTTTCTGAGACTCACCTTTTCTCCTCTCTGTTCATTTAAAATCTCTACTCTGTGACATAGAGCTTGGATAGGATCTACAAGTCGTGCAGATCCTATTATGTCTTCTAAGAATTCAAGCAAGCCTTCTTCATGTTCTGTCTGGCCTTTTGGTTTCATCATTGCGATTTGCTCAACTTCCCCCTTGGAAAAGAAAAGTTTGATGTTTTCTTTTCATTTTTTTTTTCCTGAGGGAATTAGTATTCTGAAAAAATACAAACGTCTTTGCAATAGCAGGTATGTGACCATGTTCTAGCACTACAGAAAAAGAACAAAGTAATGCAGTAATCAAAACTGACTACTCAGAGTAGCAATATATTAGGGAAAACAAAGATCAAAACAAACAGAAATTTCCTCCAAGTAGTGCATGGTGGTGATGTGCATGAAAACCAGTGTCTCTTCTGAAGCCAACATTCAAGTCTAAACACTGCTTCATTTTTCTAAAGACTCAAAATGTATTTCCTCAACCTAAAAAAGAGAAGAGAATAAAGCATGCCCTCCAGGTCATGTAGCACCCAGTAGTCTTAAGGTAGCTTAATCAGGATTGAAGTCCCTCAAGAGTTCTCTTTAGAAAAGAAAGGGTCCACAAAATCGTATCTGATAGATGAACTGGATTTGGTTTTGATACAACTGAGACTTCCTTGTTGGAAAAAGAAAAACTTTAAGTATCAGGCTTACTTAGTTTAATTTCCTTTCATTTACAGCATTAACTTTAAATTATTAAGCTAAATAGTAAAAATTTTATTTTTTAAAAATACGAATTAGGAAAGATTAAAACAATGACAAGAAGTGCTTATTTTCCTGATGCTATCATTAGCCAACAAAAAAAAATCTGCAATCAGTATTTTATGCCTAGGATAGAGTAGCACGAAATCTATCAAAACATGGATTGTATTTTGTAAATTACATGGTCATGTATCAGGAAGTGAAGACATGATATTTAATGTACACATATTAAAATGCTATCTGGAGCAAGAACAGAGGTGATAGATGCTGCAAAAATTAAATAAAAAGAACACCGAGTAAAAAACTAATCACTCTTCAAAACCCGGATGGTTAGGTACACGACAAGAGAACTTATTTGTGAACCAGCCAGCCAATAGTGCAGAGTATCAGTATCAGCCCTTGTGACCGATTTTTAAACGCATGAAATAACAAGATGGTTAAAATTTAATTTTAAATTTGATTTTAGAACTGATGTGATCTAAAAACAAAACAAAAGTTATATTCTGGTATCTGTGCTATGTATGTAAAAAAACCCTAGTCTATATCCACAGAGTGAAAATATAGTTAAGAATTTAGTTGTCATTGTTAGCCACTTGTTCAGCTTGAACTGAAAGCTAAGTCTCTACAACAGCAGGGATAAGGAGGAACTTCAAGAACACACTGAACAAGGGCTGATTAATGAGATTGCAGGAGAACCAGAAAGGAGAGCCACAGAAGTCAACGACAGGCAGGATTTCTAGGCAAGCATGGCAAATCTGACCTGTAACCAGCCAGGAAAGTCGAGAATAAGGTACTGCCGAACATTAGCTAAGAAAGTTAAGACTTTTTTTGCCAAAGTGATTTCATGCAACGTACTCTGCGTACAATGACACCTAGTGGCCCTGCGCTTCTCTTCCAATTAGTAAATACTGTTTGGCCAAGTAGAAGGGAAAAGGCAAAGATTTGCAAATTTTGCAAAATAAGCATACAAGACACTGCTCCTGGGTAGGAAACTGTGTAACCTAGATTTCTGTGGAATTGTCGTAAATCTCCAGTTTGTTTCTTCTTGCATTAATTTCCACTGTTTGCATCCAAAACAATCACAGAAAAGATATTTAATTTGGGTGCTGAGCATCAAGTCAAAGAATTTTCTACGCTGCACGTACGTGCCCCAGGTTAGGTGCTCCTGTAAACCACAAAACTACCCTGGATTTTACATGAACACAGGAATTACAGACAAGCAAGGAATGAAAGTGAACTTTTTAATGATCTGGCTAAGTATAATTAGGCCTCTAAGTCACAACCATCTAAGAAAGCCTATAATGGAGTTGTGAGGGTTCTCCATAGCTCACTAATGTAATGGAATATAACTGCAATACGTCTAATGATATTGTAAATAACTAGTGGAAGTTAATCTGCTAAGCTACTACTTCATCACAGGCAAACAATTTCACAATTACATATTCTTCATTTGAAGTAAAGAGATACAGATGGACTACCTACTTAAATTCTTGGATTCTTTTCTTGTCAAGGATAAAAATTAAAACATTTCGAATATATAAATAATAACTGAATAATAAGTGTTAAGTAATATTTAATAATACATTAACTTGGTAAATAATATAAATAAGAAATCCGTTTAGCCCACACCTATAGTTGACATATTGAGAAACAAAAAGGTTTCCAGCTATTTTAATGGATAACAAAAACTGAAAGTGTTGTACCTGCTGCTTCTTGCAAGTAGTCATGACAATGATTAACAGGGGAAAAGCACATTTTACAACTCTGCATTCTGTTAAAATTTTATAGTCCATTTAACTGTTTCCTAACTTTTTAACTGTGCTTATTACTTGACCCATTATTTGAATTAGGTGTGTGTGGGGGGGAACAACCTTGCTCATTTATCTAGTAAAATATCTTTCAAAATATGGACAGCATCTCTGAAAGTGAAACTAAGAAGGCAGCAGGCAGGCTTTTGTTGTAAACATGCTTGGGCATGCTTAACATAGCTGTCACACCTAAATTTAAAGTCTCAGAACAGACCACCAAGATATCTCTGTAATTATTTGCCTTGGTTATCTTCCTCTAGCTCACAGGCATGAATTCATGAGGAGAGGGAGCAACGGGAGTGGAATTAAAAACAAAAAAAATTCCTGTAGTTGAGAAGACAAATCAAAATGGATGTCAACACAAAGACACTGGTGACACTAGCAGACAGCTAACAAAGAAAACATCTACCAGTTATTTAGTCACTATATGAAAAAGCATCAAATGTCCACAGAGTATTTTGGAGAGGCTCTACATTCAGTGCAAGAACTCTAAATGGAATTACAAACCCAATCTCAGTCTCTGCATTGTGCGTGAAGTCCTCTACGTCAGACTGAAGCTATCACTGGGACGCTGGCACATCACCAGTAACACACGTAGTCAACTGTAACACTGCTTAATGAACATACATCTAATTAACAGTTTCTACAGAATGCTACAGCTTAGTTACCAGAGAAGAATTAGAGGTACATTCTAATAGAGAACCTAAGTTTATCTGTTGAGAAATTTTTAAGCAATAAAGTTAAATAACAGCTGTGGCAAATAATAAAAAAACTTGCCTGACAGCAGGCTACAAAGTTATATGAAAAGGACAAGAGCCATTCTCATTTGAAAACCATTTCCTCTGGCGGAAAAATATGAGGAATAACTTCAAGGAACTTGGAAGCTAGAGATTCTGCCTTCCTTTGCATAGCCAAACTCTTGAAGAAGTGAATTATTTCAGTGCCATGATGTTTAAGATACCTTCGAAACTTAAATTTCTATTGTTCCTAAGAGCAAAAATTTTAAAGCAAGTAAGTTGTAAAAGCCTTCAAAAACCAGTGAAAAATTACTCATAATAAAATTAACCATCTGAAATCAACAACACAGTTAAGACTATGAGAGGGTCAGCGTAAGCACAGGATGGAGGAGCAGCACAAAACACGCTAGCCAGGAGTGCCTGGACTTGTGCCTCCTGTGTTCAAGCCCACGAGGATGCAGCGAGTGGATGTCCATAAAGATGTCTGACCAACTGACAGAAGTGGTGACACCATCAGCGTGATCTGTCACTGCTTAAGTGTTACAAGGGTGCCAGGTCAAGTGTCTATTTTGAGTTTTGTGCATTTCAGTAGAAGTTATACTTGCATCCTAGGCGTGTATTTGGAATGCTCTACACTTAACGCAAGACACCTATTATAGACAGAATTCATCATATTTCAGCTTCTATGTTGCACACACACTTCTGCATTCACGTTAGACTAAAATTCTCCTTAGGACTAGGAGTTGTCTCAAAATACAGGCATCTTACTCAAATAGCTGCACTCCACTGCTCTATGTAACTCCCTAGAGCAAACTTGTGAAGGCCAAGAATTTCACCTCCAATGTAGCCCTCCAAGTGGGACAATAAAATGCCTTAAACTCTATTACCACCTTTCTTAGAGCTACTACCCCTGTTTTCTCTAAAATTATGCATTCACTTCTTAAAACAGCCAATCCTCTCAGAACAGAAAGCTTTTACTCTGAGTTTATCTGATGTTTTCTGGCACATAAAGATTTGAATTTTAAACAAGGTTATCAAATTGCTTGACAAAGGCAAGTTCTGATTGACTCATTAAGTCTGCAGATAACTCCTGTTCAGAGCTGGAGCTCTTCACAGACAGTAGCAGCATGTTCTTGCAACATTTCCATAGACCGAGTCTGTGGACTAAAGCACTAATTCCAAAACAGTCTGAATAGCATAATGCACTAAACCAAATACTGACACTATCCAGATTAGAACATTTCAGACACAAATGTTTGTTCAAAAAAAAAAAAAAAAAAAAAGGACTATTTGGGTTATTAGGAAAATTACTGTTATAGTTTAAACTGTTGTCCTATCACCTGATGACTCCTTCCCATACAGGGAAGAAAATGAGGTTAAAGGAAAGAAGACCTATGGGTTGAAATAGAAATATATTCAATAAAATAGTAATAAAAACTATTATTAATAACACTATTAGAGTACACAGTTATACTCAGCCCATACTGTGGGGGAGTAGGCCTCAGGGGTAGGATGGTAGACAAGCCCTTCTTGTGATGACAGCCATGGAAGGAGAAGGGCCATCCTCAGCAAACTCCCCAATTTATAGTGAACATGACATTTATGGCATGGAATAACATTAACTGGTCAGCCAGGGGTCAGCTTGGAGCCAACTGCTCTGGGATTTTGCTCCCCCCAGCCTCTGCACCCAGTTATCTCAAGACTGCTGAAGACCTTGATCACCACATACCAGTGCAGGCCAAAAACTATAATGAAGTGTTTTATCACTTCGTACCCATGAAATAGAGCACTGTAGTCCTTGCAGGATTGCAGTTTTCCTGAACAGAAAACTGACTCTAAAGATATGTCCCAGTAAACTAGCACATCAAACTTT